AGTTTTCTTTTGAGGTCTCAGCTGAGTCTTGAGCTTATTGCTGAGTTGGATTCACCACATGAGTGCACATTCCCAGAAGCCTGGGTGTTCAAGTGTGTGTGTGTGTGTGTGTGCGCGCGCGTGTGTGTGTGTGTGGGGAACCCTGATACGAAGGGACGCACTATCAAAAGAAAGCAGGGGGGCCAAGCCGCCAGTTGCGGACCTGATCCAATGAAGCTAAGCAACTGGAGGGGAAGCCGTGAGAGACGCCCCATGGTGTAGCTACTATTTTTTCCGAAGTGGCACCTGGAACCAGGGAGTGTGGACCTATTCAGGAACAGTTCCCGCAATCCCGGCACAGAATTCAGGAACTCACTGTCGCAATTCGGGGCCGAGGTAGGGCGACTGACAGGTCAAAATTCGGGCAGTGCGGGGCACAAATCGAGAACCAGGAAGTCGCAATGTCGGGCCCGTGCTTGTCGGCTTCACAGGGTTTCTGGCTTAAGGTTTCGGCCTGAGGGTTTCGGCCTTCGGGTTTCGGCTTCAGGGTTTCGGCTTTAAGGTTTCGGCTGTCGGGTTTCGACCTTAGGGTTTCGGCCTGAGGGTTTCGGCCTTCGGTTTTGGCTTTAGGGTCTCGGCCTTAGGGTTTTGGCTTCCGGGTTTTTGGGGTTTGGCCTTAGGTTTCGGCCTAAGGGTTTGCTTGCCGTCCACTTAGAAGTTCTGAGCACACCTACAACACTTAGGACTAATAATGACAATAGCAATACTGTATACTTCAGTATGACAGATACTGCTGACAGTAGCAACAATATCGGCGAGAGTAATTTCATATTATTATATCATATTTAGCAACACTGGTACTGCGAATGCTAGTAACAATGGTTGATCAAGCATTGACTGCAAACCACTTCAACCCCAGATTGACACCTGTCTCGCGTCTACCGTCACAGGGGTTCCCTCTCACCGCATTTCTGCCCACATGATTGAAGCGGCAGTGCTCCGCCAGCGACGGTAGGACCGGCCATGTGCAAGTGGGCCACTTGTGCCGGAAATTTATATCTGTCTTGACGCAGCGTGCCCGATGTCCATCAAGTCTTGTGACGGAATTTTGCAGCCAGGGTGCCCGAATTGGTGCTTCGCGGGTCTGGAATTGGGACACGCAGTCCGCGACACAGCTTCCGCAATCCCACCTTTTCCCGAATCCTGGGTCCTGAATTGGCCACGCGTTTTCTGGATTTAGTTCCCGAATTGGTTACTAGCCAAGCAGGGATGGGTCAGGTGCCACTGAAGACACCCATCCCGACCGGTGACGCAAGAGTCGGGTGCCACTCTTGCGTACCTGCGCGCGTTTCTTCCGTAAGCCATCGATTGAGATTGCGACGTCTTGTGATTCCATGAACCATCGATTGAGGTTGCGACGTCATGTTTCGCGATTTCCATGTCAGCAGAGTCCAACTCAAGTGTGTCTGTGTGTGTGTGTGTGTGGAGCGCTCTGTCTTGAAGGACGGAAGGAAGTGGGCAGCTTGAGTGTTGCCTGAAACGCTCCCCAGCAGGAGACCCGGCCCTGTGACCGTAAGAGAAGGTAGAGGCACCGACTGCTTCTGCTCTCAATCTGTGGGGGCATGGATCGAACTTTATACTCGTCCCTCGTCCCCCCCTTCTCCTCTTCTTCTTCCTCCTCCTCCTCTCGTCGCCCTCGCCTCCTCGTCTTCCTCCGTGTCGTCGCGTTGTCTACTGTTTCGTCGTTTTTGCGCTCGAAGCTGACGGGAGATATCCATTGGAGCAATGCCTTATGCTACCAAGCTAAACTTGCTCGGGAATTCTGCGAGCTCTTGCCGAAAAGTCAGAGGAGGAGGAGGGCGAAAACATCCACGGCGAAGTGCACGCGACGATAATGAACATTTCAACGTCCGTCCTTGCTGTGATACTGATGCTGATGGTGATGGTGATGATGATGATCCTGGTTACGGTTATGATGATGATCATGATGGTGATGATGGTGATGATGATGATGATGATGATGTTGGTGATGACGACGGTGATACCGCTGATGATGATGGTGATGACGGTGGTGATGACGGTGATGTTGATGATGATGGTGATGGTGGTGGTGATGACTACGAGACGACGAAGACCACGGTGAAGGCTTTGCCGGGTTGCACAGTGCAGACGCAATTCCTGACAGGCTCTGGCACTAACAGCTCATGCCTTTGCTAGGCTGGATGTGCGCCAAGGGCCTACTTGCTCTCTTTCGGACGCCTTACCGTCACACTGCAGTTGCGTCAATCGACAAGGATCCGAAATCCTTTTTTATTTGATGGCGGAGGAGGTAGTGCAGAAAATGCCACTTTTCTCTGGCAAGAACCTTAGCTTAGTGAGATTTACTGAGAGGGGGCCCAGGCCAGCAGAGGTGAACGGCTCGTGCAGGTCAGGGAGTGGGCTTGACGTTGCAGGCCTTCGGAAAGCTGGCAGCTCAACGGTTGTGCGGTGCGATGTCCCGGTCGACTCACTCGACTTCCAGGCTGCAGATCAAGAACCAGAAGCTCATTCGAGCCTGCCGTCGCCCAAGTCACCCTTGGGACTATGCCGCAGGATGTGCGGGGACACAAGTTCCCATACGAAGAGACAGCTAAGGCATCAAACATGTCCGTTCCTTATCGGAGGAGCTGACTGGTCAGGAGGCCAGTTGCAGATAAGCTCCTAGGTCCTCGTGCACCTGCCACTGACATGGAGCGACACTGCGAAATGGCAGAAGCTGCGCGAGGTGGATGCCATAGAAGCAGGCTTGCAGCAACTCGAAATGTGCTGAGCTTAGTTACATAGTAGTATCATTTGGATGCGGGCTCACTGGACAGTCTGCTGCTGCTGTCTGGAGGCTTGATGGTTCAACAGCTGCACTTCTGCGCAACTTGCGGCGAAAACTCATGATGCAGGCAGCCGGGCCCATAGCACAGCAGTGGCAGCCTCTGTCTTGTCCAGTCCTTGCAGAGCGCTGCTGTATTGAGAGTCCCAGGATTCATTCGGGTTTACAGAGCACAGTTTACGCTCAGAAGGCATGACTCGTTGTTTCCGCCATCTAACTTTTTCACTAAATGCCGGCAACCTTTTCACATTCTCTGCAAGTTACATGTCCTGACTCCTTGACAGTGCAACAGCCTGACTCTGGACGCTCTCTGTTCTGACGCTGCAGCACAAGGCTTATTCCCCAGAGGATGACCCGTGGGAGGCATCCGCCGAAAGTCTGCTGCAACGGTTGTCCGAGGCTGGCTTGTTGCTCTGCCTTGTTGCGCTCCTCTGCTCACTCTTGTCCCTATGAGATCCTGTCAGGATGCCGAGAAGGTAGTCAGAGCTGACTCCCAGTACAGTGCCCCCTTGCCGAAGCAGACATCCGATGATTCGGTGGGGGAGTCTCCCGAGCACAATCCGTTGCTATCCTGAGCTTTTGGCACACGAGTGGGAAAGGCCTGGGAGATCTCGTAGTTGTAGTCAGTCAGGCCTGATGATGGGCCGGCAGACCTGTGGGCCTTGTGGTCGCCTTCCCGCTGAGCTTTTTTGTCTGCATCGTGTCATGATGCACCTCAGTGAATGTCAATCCGTCGAGGTCGCACCCGCATAGTGATGCTGTTGAAGGACGGTCTACAGCTTCTTACCAGCCGCATGGCATCTGATGGCATCTGGTTGTGCGGCAGGCGCCACTCCTGCGTCAGACGTTGATTCCGAGACTGCGGGGGCCCAAGAAAAAGTTGACATAAGTTGTCTCCGTCTCAGATGGCTTTTCAGGCTGGCGCAACGCCCCGCGCGAAGCTCAAGGAGTACCTGTCAAGGCCGAAGCGCCGGTGTCCGTGCTGGCGTCCGTCTCGGCTCGGGCAGGCCAGCGGTGATCGGCCGGAAGACGATGGTCGTTGGAGAGTTACAGCGCGCTTCGGCGGCATGTCAGACACGAACAGCCGGGCACTGATGCTTCGTGCCCCTATGAGTCAGGTGGGCGCAAAAGTGGGCGCAGACAAGATAAGACCGTGTAGTTTCCGAATACTGGGTTCCTGGATGCTGCAATAAGAGCATATCACAAGTTGACTGGAAATCCCCCGCCAGTCTGAAAGAGACGGTAGCTTCGGCATTGCGCGTGGAACCTGCGCCAGGAGTAGAACTAGAACTGTCACTAGACAAGTCTTCGTGTCTGGCGGAGTGGAGTCGCTTCCCCTTTAGCCATGGCAAGTTTGCGTTCTCAGAGGGCTTGAAATGAGCTCTTAGTCAGCGCAGCCTTGTCTTACAAGCATGGAGTCGCTACCTTGCGGATGCCAAAGGGCCGCTTGCAATTCAGAGTCTGACTTCCGGTGGGGTCGCAGCGATGCCGGAAGCCATGACGCCTCAAAGAGAAACATAGGATCCAGGATCTCTGCGATGACTTGAGCTGGCCGGGGCCTCTTCTCGTGTTCGGACCATGACCCTCGACGGATGCCCGCAAACATGTTAATCGCCATTAAAAGGCTAAGGATCTTTACTTCTGTAAGTGACTTTACAGTTTAGCAAAGACAAGTCAGAGGGAGGATTGCACAAGTGTGCGCGTGTGTGCGCGTGTATGCGTCTTCGTATGTTTCAGTCTGTCTCTCTCTCTCTCTATATATATATATATATCATTATATATATATATATATATATGTGTATAAATAAATAAATAAATATATATATATATATACATCAAGAAATAAATAAAGATAAATATAGATATAAATATAAATATAAATATAAATATAAATATAAATATAAATATAAATATAAATAAAAAAGCAAATAAACAAATAAATATAAATATCAATATAAATATAAATATAAATATAAATATAAATATAAATATAAATATAAATATAAATATAAATATAAGTATAAATAAATAGATNNCCCCCCCCCCCCCCCCCCCGGCTTCCAATGGTATCCCCCCCAAAATACACGGGTTTGGAGCCTTCGGCGCCTGTGCGGAGAGGGGCCCAGGGGGACTAACTCCGAAGCTCGAAGACCCCAGCC